TGTCTTCATTGGTCGCTCTGTCTCACCGTAGTACACATCCGATCATACTGGATGTTTGGAACCTCAATTTTGGCGTTTGAATGGTTTTCTTGCCCTTTTTCTACTTTCAGTTCATACTGTAGCTCACCCATCACTACGAAACACTCTTATACACCAGTTCCGAGCCCGAGGCTGCCTTTAATGGCCCTTCATCAAGTACGCACAATGATGTTGTTAAATCGGATCACCTGCCAGCCATTGTGATCGCTGTCTTTGAGCTTACCTTAACCAGAGCAGCCGGAGACCGATAGCGATGCGAGCCTCCGGTGGTACTTCGACCAATAAGTGGAACAGCTTGCAAAACTTGGGCGTCCGGGTAGTCGTAGTAGCGCCCTTTCCTACGCGCAATTTTCCGTGCCACTAATGGAATTTACTCACTCATATCACACGTGTTGCCACTTGACATCACTCCGACAACAGTGTTCTTTCGGTTGTGAGTTTGGAATAGTGGACCTCCGCTGTCGCCCTGAACATCGCTGAGCGTCAAACTCATATTCTAGGAGTATTTGATTCATAACACTTACGTTGCATACACCCACGTCTTCCGCAGTTGTAGTCTGAAGTAGATTAGTCTTCGTTATACCTAATAGTTCGACGTTTACCACTTGGTAACCATCGGTCTTAGCATCCTTTTCAGCTAAAAAAACTCGCGCTAGTTATCCGCTTATTAGAAGAAAACTCATGAACGTACGAGATATCATTCCAGCTCCGGCTGCTTTTAGTTTTCGGGAAATTTCCGTAGATGTGTCGGGCATACAAATCGGTACTGCCACAGATTCAGGTACTTTCCAGTCCATTCAATTATTGCTATATCGTTGAGCATAGAAGCACTCATCAAAAGTATCTGATAACACGACTGAACCAAAATGTATACACATATGAGTTTTTACGAGTTGGTAGAGGGGAGAGGGGAATGTCTAATCTTGCGTCCATTTGGTGTCCCTAAAGATTAACACTGTAGTGCAGTTATGCAGTTTGCTTCAACCTCCTTTCATTGAACTAAGATTGTGTATGCCGAGTCTTAAAGTTGTGGCTGGCGGAAGCCAACAACTAATCGTAAGTGTCTTTAAACTGGTACACAAGGTCAGTGAACGACGATTTAAAGGGGATTAGACGGAAGCTATGAAGATGAAAGAGGAGCGCTAGCCCTGGGACGGGATTCTTCGGTCGCGAAACAATCGCTCCAAAATTACGTCTGAGATCTAGCATGGCTCAAAGTTGGCGAGTTCGGCGATCTCCGCCCACCGATCGTCTGATCACTCGCCGTAGTACAATAGGTGGCGAGTGATTAGATAGCTGAGAGAGCGTAGGGTTGAAGAGGGCAAAGCGATGAGAGTCCCATCAATGCTCAAATCAACGGACAAGGAAGGGGTCCCATTTCTCCGGTTCTGGGCCGTTTTTCGTGGTTTCGCTTTCTTTCTGGTACTACTCACCATCTCTACCTCAATTTGAAATGGGTTTCCATCGTAAATTCGTCGTAAGGGCTGTGATCGAGGTGTTCCATAAAAATCAAGCAAGGTGTCAGTAGGCAGGATGAAAAGAAACCAATGAAACGCTGAGTCAGATAAATAGGGAACCACTGCGCGGCACGGGACGAGTCTGCGCGCGAATTAGCAAATCGCGTCCAAGTAAATAGAAAGTTCCATGCACGTTTCTCCATATTCCACGGGCTGCATAAGATGTCCGCGACTGTGCATGGGCTCTGGTGAGAACGGAAATACACTCGGTGCTAGCAGGGATGAAAAAGAAACCATGAAAAACGACCCCGAGTCCGAGAAATAGGACCCTTTTCCGCATTGGGGCGGTCTCATAGTGCTGACGTCCAGCATGAACGCTCTGCTCTGCGTCTCTATCACTCGGCTACTATCTGGGGCTAGAGTCCGACGGCGAGTGTGTGGCGTAACCAGTGCGGTCCTGTTAGCCTGCTAGGGACACACACATTCGTTGCTAAACGCGCATCGTCCCTCATTCACCTGCCTGTCTGCTAACCATAATCATATTTCTTTCTTCAAACTCTGACCTTATCGGGAACACTGCCAATCATGGAACGCTTAATCCCCCCCCCCCCTTCAGCACAGCTGTGCGCTACGGTTCCATTATGCCACGTGCCAGCTAGTGCGTTCAGGCATGGGACTACGGAATGATGTTGGTGCATTCGTTTGCGGGAAATTTCCGTAATAAAAACAAATTTCCTAACCCGAGCCATTGCTCTTGTGTGAGTGTAGGGACATTTCTTGGCTTCACGGCAACGAGCGCCAATTGTGAGCGTGTACTTGTCTTTTGCGGCGAGGAGTTTGCCCTTATTACTGAAAAGCGATTCAGAATTTGCTATTCAACTAATGCACTGAACTGATGTGCAAATAGAGCTTCAGTACGTATATCCGATTTCCTTGCAGTGCTCCTGGTCCGTCACTTCGTCACTCATAGTTTCTCTCACGCAATGAGCTCCTGTTAGTACGTGACGGTTGGATATAAGGGCTCCACTGCATATAACACCTGAAATATGAATAAGAACATTTTTTGAACGCCTATTGATGGTACCGCTATGACGACAGACCCTGGAAATAACCTAAGATAATGCTCGGTTGAAGATACCGGTGCGAGCATATTTATTTATTTACTTATTTATTTATTTGTTTCTATACACCATATACTATTCATTTATTTATTTTATTATTTATGACTTCTTTATTTATTTCTATAAACTTTTTGTTAGCTTTTGCACCTTACACAGTTCTTGGATGTGAAAGCGTCGTTAAACCAAATTCTGTGTGGGAAATCGCTCCGCCCACCTCAAGATCATCCAGCCAGCTCGACTTTTAGATGAGATAGATGTGCGCAATTTGTTCGGAATTTATTATTCAGCAAAATGTTCAGAACTGAATGAGCCCCTTTTATGTGTTTGTTGGAGTTTTGGAGCTGTTGTGTCATTTTTCTCAAGTTCACAGAGCAGAAGTTCGGAGTATGGTAAAAAAAAGCTATATTTTTCACAATTTCCATGAGCAGCTTGAGAGCGAAAATCTGATTCCCTTCATGTTCCTGCACAAAAACTTCTTGAACGTCTCAAATCCTCTTCCTTTAATGCGCAGAAGCATGTTGATCTTCCTCTAAAGCAACAGTCCCAGCAGGGTGGGCGTGGTCGGAAACGGCTGCAATCCCCTCGGCCGATTCCCACTTCGGAGCTGTTCAGCCCCTAGTCAAGAACGTAAGGAAGTGTGACTGAACAAAAACTCACCTTGGAAAGCCGCTAGGGAGGGAGCTGAAGTGGGCGTGGTCGGAATCGGCCGAGGGGATTGCAGTCGTTTCCGACCACGCCCACCCTGCTGGACAGTTGGGAACGGGGGTTTAAGCCTCAGCAAGGTCTCCCTTGCTGTCGTCAGTATCGCGTGAAAAAGTCCAGTGGACCCTCCTTGCTCGAGGGACACGAAGTCCTTCATTCCTTTCGAGCTTTCGTGAAGAAGTCTGACCATCGGGCCGGCGGTCGTCCAGGTGTTCGTTTGACGTCCCGAGGGATCCAGTCGGTAACCGCTCTGGTCCAACGGTCATCGCAAAATCGCATGACGTGTCCGGCCCACCTTATCTTCGATTCCTTGGCGAAAACGGCAGCGTCCCTGATCTTCGATCGTTGGCGTAGTTCGAAACTCCGGATTCCCCTTACGCAATTGCGTGTAGAGGGTACCTCCAAGACCAGTATCGTAAAACTCGGTACTGATCCTGGATTCGTGGCT